AAACATATACAGGGTGTTTGGAAGGTCGATGCAAAGTCTTGGGAAGGTGATAGGGGAGGTCATTTAGACTTAATTAAGCCAAACATACCTTAGTACAAAGTCTTAAGGTTTTCCAGTTTTTCGAACGTTTTGGATTTCTTTAAAAAAAGGCAATTTTTCACTTTTTTCTCCTTTTATCTCTAAAATAAAAGATGATAGTATGATGATATTTTTTTTTTGATAGCAGAACGTTTGTCTTTTCTGAAAGTGTAAAGAAAAGAAAACCATACTGACTGCAAAAAAATAATAAATACATTTTTGGTAATTTTTCTTTTTACTGATAAAAAATTATTTTTTCTGCTGAAGTTTATTAAATAAATCAGCTGTAAACAAGCTGATTTTATTAGTAATACTTTATCAGAAAAAATAATTTTTGATCAGGAGAAAGAAAAATTACCAAACATTAATTTATTATTTTTTTTGTAGTTCGTTTGGTTTTCTGTTCTTTACATTTTCAGAAGAGACACACGTTCTGCTATTGAAAAAAAAATTATTGTCAAGCTGCCATCTTTTATTTTAGAGATTAAAGGAGAAAAAAGTGAAAAATTGCCTTTTTTTAAAGAAATCAAAAACGTTCGAAAAACTCGGAAAACGTAAGACTTTGTACTGAGGTATGTTTGGCCTAATTAAGTCTAAATGACCTCCCCTATCACCTTCCCAAGACTTTGCATCGACCTTCCAAACACCCTGTATATGTTTGATAATTATGTTTGTGGGAATTCTCTATAATCTTCAAAGTTTTACGATATGGTAGGCCTCAATACAGGTAACAGAGCCTATGATGATAGTTAGATATAATATATTCAACTACAAACAACTAAATCAAATACATACTAAATTTTAGTACTCTTCAGAAAAAATGGGACAAAAACGCAAGACCGCAAGACTGTTGCATGCTCGGTCTTGGTCTTGCATAAGTCTTGCAATGCTAAGTCTTGGTCTTGCATAAGTCTTGCACTACTCGGTCTTGGTCTTGGTCTTGCAGTCTAGAAGTGGTCTTGGTCTTGCTTTTTCTGCAAGACCAAGACCAAGACCGCAAGACCAAGACCAGTCTCGCTCATCACTACTCATGGCGTAGAGTAGTCCACGACGAACCACAAACTTTTGGAGAACGCAGACACGAGACTGAAAAGAGGGACCGTAGGAACGAGCGAGGGAACAAAAGATAAAATGCTGCCAGAGACTGGGTGTACCAAGACTGCGGAAGAGTGTGCAGCTCTAGAACTGGTGGTAGCCACCAGAAAACTCACAATCGATGAAAATAAGAAGAATAGAAGATAAATATACTGAGTATCGAGTGATCGTCTATAATATGTTGAGAATCGTCCACGATTCGCTTATATTTCAATAGTTTTGTTTGAATATTTATGATATTATTATAGATTATCAATTGTATTCAAGCTATCTTAAAGTAGGTTAATCTCCCCTATCACCTTCCCAAGACTTTGCATCGACCTTCCAAACACCCTGTATAAATTTCCAATGTGATTCGAATTGGTGTTTACAAGTAAAAGATTTTTCAGTCCATATAAAAACTTCTATCTTTTGCATTATTTTTGCTTTTTGAATCTATAAAGTACTGCTTCACAACCGCACGCGAACGTGTGATGAAAAGTACAGTTACCGCACGGCAGGCAAGTGGGTGAAATCGTTAAAATGTGGTGATTTCATTTGCTGAGAAATGCATAAAACTGATGTGCACTTTCTTCATTGAGCAATAATAATTTTGGTTTATTTCTAATTCCAGCCAAGGTAACGGGCCCCCAGTGACTTAGATATAGATCTATAAAATTACTTATAGTGAAATATTTTAAAAAAAATGTCGCTATTGAAAGAATAGCTGCATTAGATTTATCAAGAAAACAGATAGATACTTACATTTCAACTCAATGGGCATGTTTCCGATTTTTTTTTTTGGCCGATTGAATAGTATTTTGCTTGCTTATTCTTAATGTGCTTTTCTTTTTTTTTCTGCGGTCCCTACTTTTCTTTATATTAATTTTTGACAACGGGACTACATTCAAAAAAATCCTTTCTGACATCATAAAGGGTTCTGCTTATTATTATCAATAAGTTAACAAGTAAAGTTGGAAAAAAGGATAAATTCTATCAATCCAACGATGTGTCAAATATGGCCGACTGTTGGCACACATATGCCCATAACCCTAAATTTCTTGTGTCATCAGTCATCGTCCCTTGTGTTTACCTTTGACGTTGGGGATTTTAAAATAATTAATTCCAGCTTTTTACAAATTTCCTTCCAAAATATGTCGAAATTATTGTAAAGTCTGTTTTTTTTGTAAAGATAAAAGTCAAAATGACATTCTGTTGGCAATACAATGTAAAATTGTCAATGCTTTCAAATTTTTAATGTAGAAAAGGCTTGTGTTGCCAACATAGTTACTAAATTTTTGACTTGGGGAATTATCTTTAAAAAAAACAGATTTTAAGTGTGCTTTTTTTAGGTCTCAAAACTCACAAAATTAAGCAATAAGCAGCAAAATACACAGAAAATGACACACCGTGCGTTTGGTATTTAGATCAGAGTTCTCCGAGCTTGAATTTACCGTTCGTTTATTCAAAAAGTGTACTCGGAACAGGCTCATTTGCGTTCGTTTATTAAAATTTTGGGCACTCGGATACTTTGTTCAACTGCTCTGTTCGCTCGCTGGTCATGTGATTACGGCTCCGCTCAGCACGCTCTGCTCCGCTCTGCTCTTTGAGCAAAATACCGAACGCAAGGACAGTATTAAACCAAGAAAATCTTTTGTGTGCCAACAATCCGTCAAAAAAAGTCACGTGGTTTGGATTGCCTAATACAACAGATGACACTTGGATGACGGATGTTAGGTTAAAAAATCTGGCAGCACCGCATGTAACAACATTTTGTTGATTGGACAATTATTGAGAAGGCGGCAGCTTTCAAAAATAATGCCCCTTCCAACAGCCTTAAAAAGGCAGCAAAGGGAAGGTAGAGAACGAAAAAATATTTTTTCGATCAAATTTTTAGTGCAATCTATCGATTCGCATATCAAAACATGTTTTAACAATGTAGGAAACATCCCCATTATAGATAGGCATAAAAAAATGAAATGCACGTTTAAATAAAATAGTTCTTGTGCAATTAATAGTAAATACCAGTGGCGCACCCAGGGGAGAGGCATCGGCCCCCCCTCCTTTAGGCCGCTATCCAAAACTGTATTTTTACGTATAAAAAAATGTGGCAACATGAGGGCGAGGCACCCTGACAACTCAATTTTTTGTTTAGATTTTTAGACACAAATCCACAACCTATATGTAGAGGCCCCTCAAACATATTCTCTGGGTACGCCACTGGTAAATACAAATAAGGATGTTTTAATATTAAAGGGAAAAACTTAAACAAGTGATCCCTCAACTCCCAATATTGAAAAACCTGAATTTTGATACTGACATATACTCTCCCTTTCTTTAAACATTTACTTACTTCAAGTGGCATGAAAAACAATTTTTTGTTAAATTTTCTTCGTGAAAATTCTCTCCAGTAAAAATCTACCAAAGAAATGCAAGACACGCAAGAGTCCAAGACCAAGACCAAGACTGGACCCTGCAAGACCAAGACCAAGACCAAGACCACTTATTAGACTGCAAGACCAAGACCAAGACCGCGTATGCAAGACCAAGACCAAGACTAACCCGGTCTTGGTCTTGGTATTGCATTTGCTCATCACTAGCCATGAGGACCTATCATTTGCCGTCATCTCCCAGTTGCTATTATCGATGCGGCACTCTGCCATATTTTTCGTTAGAACAACTTTGTAGCGTTTTTGTTGACCTCCTTGATTTCATTTCCCTTTTTCAGTTGACTGTAGTGGAAGACGTGTTTCGGACAGTTGACCTGTTCAGCGAAGTTGGTGCTTAATGGTAAGGGCTTCAATGCTAGTTGTTTTGGCCTGCTCTAAAATACTATGTTCGTTCGTCAGTCTTGCCATTTAATCCGTAGGATCCTTCTTAGGCATCGCTGGTAGTATTTTTTTAGGCATTTTATGTGTCTCCTCTAGGTGGTCCTTGCTTCGTAGCTATATTTAAGTATTGGCATTACAACTACATTGTAGACGTAAAGTTTGGTCTCAGCGCTAATATCGTGATTGTTGAAGACTCTCTCTTTTATTAGGCATGCCGTCAGTACCAGCTGACTTCTGACTTATTGCTCTTTAGTTATCTGCTTTCCTTTTCGCCCCTTTTAACCTCCTCTAATCTGGGAAATCCTCCGTTCTTGTTGTATTGGTTTATGTGAAATTTCATTGAAGATGTCATTACTAATTGTGATTTTCTGTTCCTGAAAGTATAACTTCCAAGGATAATTATTGAAATAACTCTCTTCAAGCAGTCTTGGATCGTGAGGGGTTCAATCTTTGAGTGGTTGGTCCGTATACCATCTCAGTATCCTGAAAGAAGGCCCTGGTGCTATGGAATTCAGCTAGTTGCTGCATTTCGTTTGATTTTGTTATCCACCATTGGTTCTTTAATGCTCGCGTTTGTCGTTCAACTTCTGCTTTTGCTTGTTGGTACTGCCTTTTTTCACAGTCGAGTTGGTGTCGCTTTTCCATGCATTATGTGCATCCTTTACGAGCTATTCTCCGTAGTTTGGGTAGTAGGAAGTAGGAGATCAAGCTTCGACGAATGACGGATTTCTTGAGGGGACATACCGGAGACGATTAGTGTTCTAACAAAAAATGCTCTGAGTGGCTTCTCAGGAGAGAATAGGCCAAAAACAGACGGACTTGAGACCAACTAATATCCAACATGTGATGTTTTGAAGACGTTGTTGGTACTTACTTGTGCCTAACTTCAAAACCTTCCCGAAGCTTATTTATTGAGGCGTTTTGTGTTTAGAAGCAAACGCAGTCGATTGGCAAAACCCTCTTATCATGATACGAATTTAATATTGTTTTAATTTAGATTCAAGTTGCGCACAACACATGGTAATGGACGAGCCAGAGTTTGAACCAACAAGTGAAACAGGGACAGCCATGACAGCTTCGAAGCGTTGATAGTTAGAGGTATATCGCATAACCTTAGATATAATGTCCTTCCAGAAATTGACAAACTTTGGGTGGAAGAAGTATTTTCAAATACTGAAGTAAAGGTGGGAAACCCATTAGATACAAAAGATGGAGTCATAAAGATGACGTGTATAGAACCAGAGGATGTAAACATGGACAAGGGAGTACAAAAGACCTTCAGAGACAAACACCCTGAACTAATCGAGATTGATGAAGATTTTGGTATTATAGAGCTGGAAAATAAAATTAGGCCCAGTAAGATCGGACAAACGACGAAGAACAAATTTGTCAAAATTTCACATAACTACAACGAGGAGGATATATAGGTATGATAAATTAATAAGACTAAGAACCGAAAGCCAAGACGACAACTATATTGCCATGCACCAGTTAGATAAGATAAAAACCGAAAGATTCAGAAAGATGGTAGAAACTATGTTTCATGGCTCTAAGACTATGGTGACAATATACACAAAAGAAAATGCCACAAGGATGAAACAAAAAGGATGAAACAAAAAGAAAGGAAGACGTACGCTTTGGTCGTCGATGCCGGAGATCAATCGTATGAAGAAACTCTTAAGAGCGTTAAAACTAAACTGAGAAAGTTAGACGAAAACAGCAGTATAGAAGTGTTCAGGAGTACAAGAGAGGGAAAGCTGCTCATTACCTTGGATTAGGATGAAGAGGCTATGGAAAAGATCCAGAAACAAATTCAAAACAGAGAAGGAAAAACTGAGGGAAGTGTCTGGAAACTGGAGGAAAGAAATGAAAAAGAATATATCCATATCAGAGGAGTAGACGCATTCATAGATATAGAGGAAGTGAAGAAAGCCCTCAGCGAAAACATACAAAACATAAATAGCAAGAATTACAAGCTAAGTGAACTTAGACCTGCCAGCGATAATACGCAAGTAATCACTCTGACCATAAACAAAATAGATGCTGAAAGTCTTTTAGCAAAAGGAACCATAAAAATTGGATTAGTGAGGTGTAAATTGAAGCGACGAGTAAGGATGAATAGGTGTTATAGATGCTGGGGATATGACCATCTGCAAAAAGGCTGTACGGGACCTGACAGAACAAAGAACTGTTTCAACTGTTGAGAAATGGGACATGACATAGGTTATTGTAAAAGTGATAGAAGTTACCCCATATGTAACGAGAAGGGATACAGAGCGGGAACAGGAAAATGGAAGGCATTCCGAAGATGCCTTTCGATAGCCAAGAAAAATAATAATTCACAGAGCTTAAAGTAATCCAACTTAATATGAACAGATGCAAGACTGCTCATGATGTAATGCAAAAAACAATTGCAGAAGAGGGCGATAGGACAGGAACCGAACAAAAACTTAGCAACTAGCATGGACTACTGTGACATTGCAAAGGACTGCGTTTTATGAGCGTAAACAAAAACTTGAAGGTGATTAATAAATAGCATTGCAGGTGAGGGTTTTGTATATGTGAAGTTGGGTGAAGGATATACTATAATATGCTCCTGCTATTTCTCGCCAAATGGAGTCATAGAAGATTTTGAAGGGCTAATAAACAAAATGGATAGTATGGTAAGGTCCAACAAAGAAATTATAATTGGTAGAGATCTGAATGCCAAATCCGATATCTTCGGACCAAATGTTACCAACCAACGAGGACTTATACTGAAAAACTGGATAGATGCGACGGGCCTGGTAGTTGTAAATAAGGGAGATACCCCCACGTTTTGGAGAAAACTGGGTGGTTAAATTATTGACAAAACAGTGGCCTCGTCAAAAATAATTTAAAAAATAACAGGATGGAAAGTGGAAGAGGATAAAGAAAACTACAGTGACCATCGTACCATAAGTTTTGAAATCAAGAGATTCCCGAAAAACAAGAACAAATATTATGAAAGATCCAGATTAATAGGCTGGAAGATACGACCTGACTCCATGAGAGTATTCCACAGGCGTGCTGCAAACATGTTCACTGATATAAGCAATCTAGATCCCATCAAACTAGTAGAACGTATTAAAGAGCGCTGTGATAGGTACTTTCAGAAAGTTAACAATAAAAAACAAAGACGACGCCCAAACTATTGATGGAATAAAGAAATTGCGGAGCGAAGAGCAAACTGTGTGAGACTTAGACGAGTAATCACAAGAGTCAAAAGACGCAGAAAGGATGAAAAACTATTACAAGAAACAAAGATAAAATACAAGGATGCCGAACGGGAACTAAAAAATGAGATAATAAAGGAAAAAAAAAAAAGAAATGGGAAGAACTGTGTAATGAACTGAGCAAGGATCAGGGATATATGGGGAAAGGCGTACCAAATAGTTACAAACTGAGGCTGAGGACACGAAAAACTCTGGATGAGGACACAGTAAAGACACAAGTCTCTAAATTGTTCCCTGAAAATGATATCATAGAATGGAAAAGAAAAATAATTCTTTCTGAAAATAAAATACCGACTTATACTGAAAGTCAGTCAGAAGCTGCCCTAAAACAAATAAAGGCAAAAAAGAAACCCGGGCCGGATAACATCATACTGGAAGTGGAAGTGACGTGTATCAAACTCAATAGAGAAACATTTCTTTATTTCTTAAAGTCTACAACAACAGTCTGCTCGAGGGGAACTTCCCTAACATTTGGAAGATAACCCGATTGGTACTAATCGAAAAGCCTAAGAAAGAAGCCAATTCGGCCAAGGCTTTCAGACCGTTATGTGTGAGTGATGCAGCAGGTAAGATCCTCGAAATCCTGATTAGGAATAGGCTACAAAATGAAATAGCAGAAAGAAAACTAGTACATAGATGAAATCAATACGGCTTCACTAAGGGTAAATCAACTATCGACGCTCTAGAGAGACTTAAGAAAATGAGAGACGACATTGAGACTAAGGCAATGAAAAATCATGAATTCTGTGTAATGATCCTCATTGATATAGAATACGCGTTTAGCACTGCATCGTGGAAACAAATTATGACAAGTATTAGAAAAGGCAATAAAAGCAAATATCTAGAAATCATCCTAGCCTCATTCCTATCTGACATAAAGATTATTACCTCTAATGGCGAAACAGTTGAAGTTAATTGCGGAGTCTCACAGGGGTCGGTACTAGGATCAACATTGTGGAGCCTGTTCTATGACCGGGTTCTCCGTATGAGAATGAAGCAGGGGGTGGAGTTCATTGCGTATATTGATGACCTGACGATCGTAGTGAGGGGAAAGAACAGAGAAGACATAGAAGACAAAGCTCGACAAGAAATGGAATTGACAGTGGCAGCCAAAAAAACCGACATACTCGTACTGGAAGGACGCCGAATAACTATAGGATGGCAGAACACATAAACCAAATAACTCTCAAAGCCAACAAAATGATTAACGCACTTACAAGAATAATGCCAAAAACGGGAGGCCCAAAGGCAAGCAGAAGACTGACCCTAAAGTATACAGTGACTTCTGCGATGATGTATGCTGCTCCGATCTGGAAGGAAGTCATTAAGTTTGAAAAATATCGAAAGAAGATAGAGGGTGTAAACAGGCGACTAGCGAATGCAATTTAATCTGCATATAGAACGATCAACAAGCGGCACTGGCCATCACGGGAACGCCACCGATCGATCTACTCGTTGAAAGAGTGGAGGTCCATAAAAATGGAGCTGACTATAGAAATGCGCCAAGACGGGTGATTTTACAGAAATGGCGACAAAGATGTAGCGAATACGAGGGATGCGCAAAGTACTTCATACCAAATTTAGAGAAGTGGCTGAATAGAAGCCACGGGGAAGTGGCATATCACCTAACTCAGGCCATATCGGGTCATGGTGTCTTCAAAAAACTAGAAATACCGACGAAGATCAATGCTGGTTCTGTGGGCTAAGGGACACTCCAGAACATACGCTGTTCCATTGCACGGAATTCGAAGCCCACATAGAGAAGTATCACACTGAGTATGTCGGACCCTGATCAAGGATAATATTGGCTAGCTTCTGGTTGAATCAGAAGAAAACTGATATACAATAGTGGGAATGATTAAGAAAATCTTGATGAAAAAAGAGGAGGAGGAAAGAAGGCCATATAATGTCCAAGCTAGATATCCTAACAAATATATGGTTATTTCTATAATAATAATAATTTGTCAGGTAGAAAATATGCTAGTGATGGATAGATATCCTAAATGACCTAGAAGTGGCATCGCACTCTTCTCCAGAATATTTTTGATATGCCATGCATTGAGTAAGAATTTTTTTCAAGTCATACCATATTCCTCAATTGTCTATAAAGTAATTTTCACTAAATATTCAGTTCTCATTTTCTAATACTTAGTTTTATTGGGCTATATTTTTCAGTCGTGTCATGCATTTTGAATGATGAGTAGTCGCCATGAAGCAGGCGGTTTGGTAAACCATAGTTCTATAGGTCTATAGCAAGCATGCTTCCACCTTCATAAGCATTACTTTTCGAAATAGAATATTAGAATCCATTGTCTGCAAATAGTGCAAATCATTTGAGGGGGAGATCGCAGCTAACAAGGCAGATATTATGACCATAAGGCAGATTGTTAGCAACACTAGACTACTACTGAATTTTTTTTCCAAATCTTGAGCTCTTCGTGAAAATGGAGACATAGATAACGACCAGCAATTAACTACATTAATGAAGCAGATAATAAGTTATGCTAAATTGCGCTCGATTTATCTTTATTTTAATCATTTCCTAATCCTCTTATTGCGAAAAAACGAACGAGAATTTTATTAAAAATAACATAAACAATAATTATCCCAAGCATAAGCTAATCGTTAGCACCATATTAGCGTCAAGTCAATCTTGTTTTCAGCAAGGTCGTGCTGAAAGAAAAACAAAATCTCGGGCGATAATCATTTATTTATTATTTGTTTTCAATTAAAGATATGACGTAAATGTTGCTCATTAGAGCAAATTTCAAAGATAATTTATAAAAAATTTCAAGGAATAATATAGACAAAATTACCTACGATAGATAAAGACAAATATCTACAAGAATTCAACATAAGTAGGTAGGTACTCTGATTTGTCACTGCTTGATATCTTTCTTCATTGTGAGTATACGATGAAGTATTGAAACAACTTTGCCATGACTGAAGTCCTTATTAAAGATTAACATTATATGGATCTATCAATCAAAACTGACATTATTCAGGTTGACCTAAAATCTCTGTAAAGTCTTGTTAACGAACAGAGTACCTACCTAACTATTAGTACCTAAGTAGTACCTAGTAAGCAACTATTCAAGTTTTGATGTCTAGCACCCTGAGCCCACCAAACAATAAGCTGCCTCTATAATTTAACTGCATTCCAACAAATAGCAAATTCAAATGTCTACATGCATTCTCAATACCATCATCTGATTTATGGATATTTGCATTGCTAATAATGAACACATTTTATAATACGTACTCCTAATTTCTTGAATCGCGGTTAATGAATAACGTATTAGAATATAAAATTTTATATTTAATTGTGTTCGTAGCACAGCAATTAGTAATCTTGAGATTAGCTCATCATTTCTAATTTCAATCAGGAAGGTCACCTTAAATAAAAAAATATAAGAAATCAGCAGTAATGATCCTTCTTCTATTGGAAAATATGATCTAATCCACATATAGCAGAGATTAAAGATCATTTATAAAAAGTTAATCATCTAAGACATGTACAAGAAGTTTTTTTCACGGAATATTAAGCTTAGGTGTTTGCAACAATTTATTATTTAGTCAAGGTAACAATAGTGACGATAAAAAATATTATCCTTGATGGACAGCAAATGTATACAAATTTCTAAGCGTCACTATATGGAATTGGCTTATTCCTATATTATTATTTTTTTTTCTGATTTAAATTTAAGTTATTGTTAAATATGTTCGCAATTATTTCAGGCTTTTGGTTTTACATTGACTTGCCAAATTATGATAGTCAAGGTCTATATTGTATTCTATTATTTATTATAATCACCAGGCATAAAATGTTAAAAGTACGGTCGATAATCCTTACTTTAAGCTGTAATTAAACATTCCACTTTACAATTTTTCTAATTTTATCGTGTGTGA